ATTATGAAGTTTGAAGTAGATACATTTAGAAAAAAAGAAGTTATTAAAAAAAAACAATATTTTTTTCATGAAAATTTTAAGTTCAAGGGAGGTAATTCTGATAAATTTTGTGCTAGAGTTGTAAACCTTGTCACATATGATGTGGTTGATGACTAGCAACTTATATTTAAAGTTTGAAGAAAATACCTTAAGAAATAAAGTACTTATAGTGAAAAAACTTAAAAACTAGAATCAGAAATATTGAAATTCAGTCTATTTGTTGCCATAGCAACCAGAATTTTCAACATAGGAAGATAAGAAAAGGATGTGCATTATTTCCAGACTGCCATCTATCCATATGTCAAGTTTCATAAAAATATTTTCAGTACTTTTTGCGTTATCACTGGATCCAGGTTATGTGCAAAATTTGCCATATTTTTAATTTTCAGCATAAGAAACAAGCAATTATTATAGTATTGCAAGCAATCCATAAGTCCCCTACCGGTTAGAACCCCATCAACATTCTGAAGGGCCATTGGCCATTCACTAAAGTTTCAATTTTTCTATATTTTAAGTAAACTTGTTGGAAAAGTTCTTTAAAAGTGATCACAGGAAACAGTTTTTATGAACAGACAGACAGACGGACTGAAGGACACTCTAAAGTTAATATTTGAAACATCCCTGTTACCAAAATATAACATTTTAAAAGCAAAATTCTTAAAGAGGAGATAACTCTTGAATTAAAGATGCAAATTCATAAAAAAATTTCAGCTCTTTTTGACTAATCACAAATATTGTTATATTTGCCATGTTTTAAGCCTATTTGTTGCCAAGGCAACTGATATTTTTTCAAAATAGGAAGAACAGATAAGACATGCATAATCTCAAGACTGCTATCTACCCATATGTCAAGTTTCATAAAAATATTTCCAGTACCTTTTGAGTTATCACTGGATTCAGTTTATGTGTAAAATTTGCCATATTTTCAGTCTATGTGTTGCCATAGCAACCAGAATTCTCAACATAGGAAGAAAAGAAAAAGACGTGCATAATCCCAAGACTGCCATCTACCCATATGTCAAGTTTCATAAAAATATTTCCAGTACTTTTTGCTTTATCACTGGATCCAGTTTATGTGTAAAATTTGCCATATTTTCAGCCTATTTGTTGCCATAGCAACCAGAATTTTCAACAGAGGAAGAAAAGAAAAAGACGTGCATAATCCCAAGACTGCCATCTACCCATATGTCAAGTTTCATAAAAATATTTCCAGTACTTTTTGCGTTATCACTGGATCCAGTTTATGTGTAAAATTTGCCATATTTTCAGCCTATTTGTTGCCATAGCAACCAGAATTTTCAACATAGGAAGAAAAGAAAAAGACGTGCATAATCTCCATACTGCCATCCATCCATATACCAAGTTTCATAAAAATATTTTCAGTACTTTTCAAGTTATCGCGGGATCCAGTTTTGTGGACGGACGGACTGACAGACAGACGGACGGACGGAGGGTAAACCTAAAGTCCCCTCCGGTAAACCGGTAGGGGACTAAAAAAGAAAAAGACTTGCATAATCTCCATAATGCCATCTATCCATATATCAAGTTTCATACAAATATTTTCAGTACTTTTTGCGTTATCGCGAGATCCAGGTTTTGTGTAAAATTTGCCATATTTTCAGTCTATTTGTTGCCATAGCAACCAGAATTTTCAGCATAAGAAAAAAAGAAAAAGACGTGCATAATCTCCATACTGCCATCTATCCATATATCAAGTTTCATAAAAATATTTTCAGGACTTTTTGCGTTATCGTGGGATCCAGTTTTGTGGACGGACAGACTGACACATCAGAATTTTCAGCACAAGAAAAAAAAACAAGAGGGCCATGATGGCCCTAGATCGCTCACCTGAATTATCAAACTCATCCAAACAATTACCTAGACAAGCATTCTGACCAAGTCTCATGACAGGTGAGTCAAAAATGTGACCACTACAGTGTTAACAAGGATTATCCATATTTGAGCAGTGCGACCTAGTTTTTTACCCAGGTGACACATATTCAAACTTGACCCAGAAATCATCAAAACAAACTTTCAGACCAATTTCCAGGATACTTGGATCAAAACAGTAGCAACTAGAGTGTTAACAAGATTTTTCTATTTTTAGCTCCGGTGACCTAGTTTCACATGCGATTTCGAACTCATCCAAGCAATTACCTAGACAAACATCCTGACCAAGTTTGATGATAATTGAGTCGAAAATGTGACCACTAGAATGTTAACAAGGTTTTTCCATATTTGGGCGGTGTGACCTAGTTTTTCATCCAAGATGACCCATGTTCGATCTTGACTTAGAAATCATCAAAACAAACTTTCAGCCCAATTAACAGAATATTTGGATCAAAACAGTAGCCACTAGAGTGTTAACAAGATTTTTCTATTTTAAGCTCCTGTGACCTAGTTTTTCATCCGAAATGTCCCATGTTCGATTTATTCCCAGCAATGACCTAGACAAGTTTCCTGACCAAGTTTGATGACAATTGAGTCAAAATTGTGACCACTAGAGTGTTAACAAGGTTTTTCTATTTTTAGCTCCTGTGACCTAGTTTTTCATCCGAGATGACCCATGTTCGAACTCATCCGAGCTATCACCTAGACAAGCATCTTGATCAAGTTTGATGATGATTGATGCAAAAATGTGACCGCTAAAGTGTTAACAAGGTTTTTCTATTTTTAGCTCTGGTGACCTACTTTTTCATCCGAGATGACCCATGTTCGAACTCATCCAAGCTATCAACTAGATAAGCATCCTGACCAAGTTTGATGATGATTGATGCAAAAAATGTGACCACTAGAGTGTTCACAAGGTTTTTCTATTTATAGCTCCGGTGACCTAGTTTTTCATCCGAGATGACCCATATTCGAACTCATCCGAGCTATTATCTAAACAAGCATCCTGACAAAGTTTGATGATGATTGGGTCAAAAATGTGACCACTAGAGTGTTCACAAGGTTTTTCTATTTTTAGCTCCTGTGACCTAGTTTTTCATCAGAGATGACCCATGTTCGAACTCATCCAAGCAATTGACTAGACAAGCATTCTGACCAAGTTTGATGATGATTGGTTCAAAAATGTGACCACTAGAGTGTTCACAAGGTTTTTCTATTTATAGCTCCTGTGACCTACTTTTTCATCCGAGATGACCCATGTTCGAACTCATCCAAGCTATCACCTAGACAAACATCCTGACCAAGTTTGATGATGATTGGGTCAAAAATGTGACCTCTAGAGTGTTCACAAGGTTTTTCTATTTTTAGCTCTTGTGACCTAGTTTTTCATCCGAGATGACCCATGTTCGAACTCATCTGAGCTTTCAACTAGATAAGCATCCTGACCAAGTTTGATGATGATTGAGGCAAAAATGCGACCGCTAGAGTGTTCACAAGTAATTGTGGACGGCCGGACGGACGACGGACATTCACCGATCCTAAAAGCTCACCCTGAGCAAGCTCAGGTGAGCTAAAAAGACGTGCATAATCTCCATACTGCCATCTATCCATATATCAAGTTTCATAAAAATATTTTCAGTACTTTTTGCATTATCGCGGGATCCAGTTTTGTGGATGGACGGACTGACGGACGGACAGACGGAGGGTAAACCTAAAGTCCACTCCGGTAAACCGGTAGGGGACTAACAAGGCAGATAATGTGTAACAGAGCACAATTATAATACATGTGAAACATTTAGGTCATTGCATAAACACATATATGAAGACTTGGAAATTTTACCCATTACTTTAATAGTCAGTATTGATTATGGGTCTGGGTCATAAAGTGTGCAAGTGTTCAAATGCACATCATTTCCATAGCTGAACTAATAATTAAGTTATGAAGGTTTAAAAATTTGACCTTTTAGTTTAGTCTTGACCTTTTATTTTAGTCACCAACATGTATGGGCCTATACAAGATGGGCCTATTTTGACCCTTGGTCAATAGTTTGTACTGCATTGATAGAGGTCCACTGGACAGTTTCATTCTGAATATCTTGGCTTTGGACCTTGTGCTTCTGGTGAATTTATTTCAAAGGTGCTTTTTTTAATGATTTCTTTTGGCCATGGCAACCACTGTTTGCATGGAATCTTTTGAAGTCCTTCAAAGAACAAAGCAGCAAAATTTGGTTTAAATTGAAATTATGGTTTTTGACATGAAACTTCTTGAAATTCACCATGTATAATCTATATAATAATATAATGTACACACAATTCAATTGTTATATGTCACCCCACTGCAGATGCTAAGGTGGCATACGAACAGCAACCATTTCTTATTAGTTGGTATAATTCATAATGGATGCCTTTTTTAAAACAAAGAACAAAACAGAGTGCAAAAGATGGTAGTCTTTAATAATATAAATACTACAGTATACAAAATTAGGTAATACAGTGTTCTTAATAATTCTATTATCCCAGATTGACCTATGTAGTTATAAACCTATAAAGTTATCAAAAACTTAATTAAGAACCATTAATGATTTTTCTAATTATTAGTATTTGAAGTTTTTTACCATCAGTCTCACAAATATAATAATTTGTGTATCTGGCTGTAATGTAAAATATCAGATGTGATCTTGTATGTGCCTTAAGTATATTTCCATAAACTCTAGCATCTTTTACTTTGACGTTTTAAGTTTACATTGCTTTACAAAAAGAAATTTTTTTTACCCCATTATGATGCATTTATGGCTTAGTTAAGGAAGAAAAAAAAACTGAAAAATTTACAAGTCAATTGCAAGAAAAAGGATAAATAATAGGCTACACAAATTAAAATTAGCACTTTTGTCGCAGCTTCTATTTTAGCCAATTACATGTTCAAAAATATCAACTGTCCAAACATTTTCTTTTTTTTTTAAATTTACTTGTGCAAGATAGAAGATGTATTTCACATAAAGTAAAAAATTCAGCCATAGAAAAAGAAAAATGGTTAACAATGTCCAATAAAAATATACATGCTTCCAAAATTTGCTCATGATAACAAAATCTTGTGTGATTATCATAAAAAAGAGTTAATTTCTGACAGCTCATCCTTAAGAACAAACATGTCTAAAACATAAAGCTACTTCTAGAAATTGTACATGAGAGTGTCTCTAAATCTTTGCTGTCATTTTCTATTTCATTTTTTCATTGAGTTCCTTTAATGTTAATTCAGACTCATCATTACATTGAAGTTCTTTTTTAAACCCTACGCATGCTTTTTTAATAGCATCCTTTGAGCTAGAGTATAACATTTTCTGCTTGATCCCACACTTATCATCACTTATCCTGAAATTAGATAAAAGAAAAAAAATAATGATAGAGCATATGAATGTTCAGAGCATTTTTGGTTTGTTTTTTAATCCAGATTTTAACAGGTTTTTTTTGGTCATAACTCAGCTGTTGATTCCTCTAAACGGCTAACTAACCAGTAATTACCAATTTCTCAGCAAAATGACCGGCTACTTATCCCATATGATTTCTGAATCAAAGGAAGACAAATGACCAATAGACACAATGTCTGAAATAATTGTCATGGAGAAATTAAGCCTTATCTGAGGACCGAACCAGCATACCCCTGGATTACTAATCCTATGCTGGCAGACATTCAAAGCAAAGATATTAACCACAACACATATGCCCCCAGCCCAGTTTCTTGTCAGTAACAATTTTTCAAAAGAGGTTTAACCATTCACTCAGTAATGAACAGAAAAAATGCCACATTTATATAACTTGACAGAACTAGAAATGTGTCGTCATGCCACTGATGCCCGAGCATGCAGCCAAAATTTCAAATGTTGTAGTATTTTGGTCCAAACTTGTTTGCACAAACTATTTTTTTCATTTTAAGTTCAGTCCTTAAAACTATTCAATGTTAACACAAACCATTTTTATACAAAGTTCAAGGCACTGAAACTATTCAGTGTTAACCTTTTGTTAATTGCATATTTCATATTTGTAACCAAAATAATGACTACATACATTTCCACAAAAGTATGAATGCTGAAACTGAAAATTCAAAACTTTTCCAACATTCAAGACAGATAACTTTGTCCAAAACAAACTTGAACCACGCCAAAATACAAACTTGAACATGTATCTAATCTATACGTAAAATTTGAGTTGAATGTGTACAACCATTGGAAAGATAATGAATGGAAACTAAAAATTTCTGATCTTTTTCAAAGTTCAAGAGAGATAACTCTGTCAGCTATCATCAAACCATGACCAAATTCAAACTTGACCAGTATATATGTTTGAGTTGAATGTGTACAACTGTGGGGGAGATAATGAACAGAAACTGAAAATGTCTTATTTTTTTCTAAGTTCATAGGGATAACCATGACCAAATCCAAACTTGACCTCTGTATTTGTATAACATAGACATATCCTCATATTAAATTTGAGTTGAATACATACAACTGTTGGGGAGATAATGATTTATTTTTCAAATGTTAAAGGGGCATGACTCTGCCAAAAATCATCAAACCATGACCAAATTCGAACATAACCTGCACATTCCTTAACATATCCAAATGTCAAATTTAAGTTGAATGTGTACAACTGTTGGGGAGATTATGAACAGAAACTGAAGATTTCTTGGCATAACTCTGCCAAAAATAATCAAACCATGAGGTAATTTGAACTTGCACATTTCTTTGTCGTATCCGTATTTAAAATCTTTTATCTTTTTTTTCTCAAAGTTAAAGGGGCATAACTGTGACCAAATTCGAACACTTCACCAGCCCATTTTTTAACATATCCATATGTTAAATATGAATGTGTACAATCGTTTGAGAGATAATAAACAGAGCTGAAAATTTCTTTTTTTTTTTCAAAGTTAAAGGGGCACAACCATGACCAGATTTAAACTTGACCTGCATTTTCCTATGAGTTTTTAGCTTCTGTGACCTACTTATGCATCAGACTGGAACCAATGATAAGACTTATGTATAAAGCCTTCCAAGGATGGTTCCTGCAAAGTTAGGTAGACATTGCCATCGCTAACCTTGAGCAGTTTCTACTTAGAAGAGCTTAAAATTAAATCCCTAGATATGGTTCTTGGACACTGCACTTACTTCACTGGTTTAAGAGTTTAATAAAATTTCCTTTAGCAATTGACAAGTGAGGAAGGACAGATGTGCCAACATTTTGCATTTATGGGCTATGAACTTTTTGTTGGCGTTTTTTTTATAAATAACTTTCCACTTAAACCAACAATTAATATTGCTTCCTTCCTTTTTTTACTAAGATTATAAGTTTGTGTTTATTTTAAAGTACATACCAGACTATAAATACAAGATCTCCTGTTTTGTTCTTTGATGCCTCATCCTTGACCAAGTCATAAACAGCATATCTTCCTTGTCCACTTTCTGCTGCGGCTAACATATGTTGTCTAAAGTCCTCAAAAGTCTCTCCTGTAACAATCAATTTAGAGATGACTATATTCTCAATCAAAGAATAATGAATGCAGTGTCTTATTTGTACAATTAGTATAGTAATTGGAATATCCTGTCACCTGCTAAAAGACTTATAGGAAAGGAAAACTTAATATTTTCCCCTGTGCTTCTAATTTCTTATCCCAATTTTTTTTCTATATGTTTTGATGATAATGACAAAGTAATTTATTGTTCTCAAGTCCTAGCCTGCATTTCATAGTAAATTCATAGTGTATTCAAAGTCCTAGTACTAAGACCAACTTAAGGACTATTTTTGGACCATTTCAATACAGATTATTATCTTAAGTTGACAATAGCGAATGCTTATGTTTATGTTCATCTGCAGTAGTCTTATCATAGGAGTCCTAAAAGAAATGTAAAATTGTCTTGGTTTTGTTCTTTAGACTGAACACAACCCTGCAATTTCTAAGTCACAAAAAGTTTCTATTTTACTGCTTGCTGTTATAAATGTGAAATTTTCCCAATGATACATGCTGTTCTGGAAACGCATCCTCAGTATAAAACTGTATTTGCTACTGATAAAATTAAGCAAGAATTAAGTTTAATTTGACTAAATGGCTAACCAGATGCTCAAGACAAACAGGATTTTAATAATCTGATACAGAAAACAGGCATTAAGAATATCAATCAAGATTATGAAATTTGGGTTCAAGTGACTCCAATCAAACCAAGTCTGCAATTATCTGTTTTTTCTTTCCAGATATTACCCTTTTTGAAATTTTAAGCTCAAAAACATTTTATAGGCAGTTGTTTTACAAATTTACAAATTTAAATGAGGCAGTCTAAACCTGTAACACTCTTTGACCAACCTTTATGAACTTGACCTTGAAGAAGCAACCTGACTTTTAAGCTCTGTAAATCACCAAATTGGGCAAATTTGTTAAAACTTGGTAGACCAGAAGGTGACCACCTAAAGAACATTCCTGTAAAGTTTTGATGGAATTGACTTAGCAGTTAATGAGGAGATGTTGTTTACAGTAAATGTTTACAGACAATAGACAAATTGTGATCATACAAACTCATCATGTCACTTTGAGACAGGTGAGCTAGAAACAATTATTGAAATCCTTCACAACTTATCTTGTGGAAACTAATTGTCTATGAACAGACTGTCAGACAGACAAATTGACTATGCCATACCATAATACATCCAAAATGTCTTAGAGAGTATAAAAATTCTTCAATAGTTTAACAGAAATAAAATGCTGTATTATTTTTTTTACATCCAAACTTTAAGAATGACCTTGACCTAGGGGGTAGAAACCTGGTGTTGTTTTTTGCACATCATTTCAAAGTGCAAAGTACTTTAAAACAGTATGACTAGGAAATGCTACATGCCAAATATTTAAGCTCTTGGCATTGTATTTTCACAAAAGACTTAAATGTACATGTATTTTCCAATTCAAGTCTATATTAACTAATCTTAATGCCAAAGACATTTATGTAACTTTTGTAAAAGACCACAAGATGATGATGCTTCTCGCTTAACTTAACTCTAAGTCCCCCCCCCCTCCCCCACCCCCCCGAGAGAAAATTTCAAAGTTTTCCCTGTGGGTCTATGTAAAATCTGGATGATCCCTGGAATGAGCCAATCTTAACCCCTGGGTGATATTTTAATCTTAAAATGTGATGACCCCTTTAATGGGCCAATCTTAACCCTTGGGTCATATTTTAAACATAGTTACAGTTCATTAGACAGATCTACATACTCTAGAGGCCCAAGACAGAAGCTTTTATTGCAGGTTTTCCTCTATGACTGTTCATCAGATTCATCAGATTAAGGCTCCAAAATTGAAACATCATTTATTCATCAAATTTGACCAGTAAGTCTCATGGGGGAAATGTTGTTAGAAATGAAAATTGACAACACAACAAACACAGCCCTGTTCCAAAAGCCCATGTTAACAAGAGCCACTGCAAACAGGAGAGGGCAATGTTTCTTAAAACATACATACCCGAGAAAAAACATTGTGATAAAAGGTTTTTCCAACTTTTGCACATAATTTTATCATCCAAAATTTGTTATTTATGTATGGATTAAATTTGTTCTTGGACTTCCTACAATCATATGGTTCTTCAGCAGATACAAACAGGAGTACAAATTTAACTTTTCCCGATGAGCCCGATGAGCAAAACGGCATACAGCAACCTTCAAAATACTCATGTCAAAAATCCTCTATCACACAAAAGTGAACATTTACATTAAAATTCCATGTAAGTAAAATATCAAAACGTATACTCTCAACTAAGACGTCTGCATGTGACCTCGACCTTTGCCAAAGGGCCCTGATTATTGCTTACATCTTTATGCCTCACAAGGCATGAGATTTATCTTT